TAGATTTCCTCTGAACGTCCAGGGGTGGTGTAGATAGGCCAGAGGAAGAAAGGCTGTGGTGTTCCAAGGCTCAGATTATATCCAGGTAGGAATGCTGGGCTCCTCCCGCTGCGTGGAGCATCTCCCCATGGGATGATGTCATTTTATCAGTCATGCAGTGAGACCCAATGGCCCATTAACAGAAGAGATCCCCCTGCAGTTATGAAAGATAGCTCATAGAAAAGATAAAGAACAGTGCCCCACCTGGTTTTAACAGGTGGTAATAGAATACATACTTTTAGTTACATCTTGCATTGCAACCCAAGACACTATTTATGTCTTGCATTATGTTGTTTACCTAATGTGTCCATTAATTCAGTTTCCATTTTTATACCTCTCAAATTCTTGAGCAAAATCAGGAAACTTAACTGGGACATGGGATCCTTGTGCAGAAAGTAGCAGGTTGTTAAATCTCTTCCATTTTATCACCTTGAAATTGAGCTTTATTTGCATAATTGTTCAAGAGTTGAAAATCTTTGGGGGTGATTTGTGGTAGAGTGGGGACTTGGCTTTCTAGGTGAGATGGCCAGGATGGTTTGGGAACTGGCATTTGGTGAAGAGCAGAGATGGAGATTTGCTCTGACAGTTGAGTGAGACTTCTCAGGCTGGTAATAGTGGTGCAGGTTATTTTCCTTGTTCAAGATGATTCTGTTGAGCACGAGGGGGCGAATGATGTGGAAAAGAACTGAAAACCCTGAACTTAACACATCCCCACCTGGGGTGAGGTGACAACCTTTGCTCTGACTTAGCAGGACCATGTTTGCTTCAGCGGGGTACTTTGTTAGCCATCCTGTAAGATTTGTGGAATTTTATATGTAAAAGCATAGCTAGGAACAGCTTTTTGTTGAAAATAATGCAGTTTGGTGATTTCAACTCCCTGCTGGAAGATTGTTCATAATTGTTATCTTAGTGTTCTTCTCATGTTCCTTTCTTAATCTCTTAACAGGCGGAAGTAAATCTCGGTATCAGTCCAGTACGGAGAAGCAGTCACAGCCTTTGGCCAAAAGTAAGACTTCTGCTTTCACTTCTGTTTCATTCTTGTGTAACATTTAACCATTTTCATGCCTTTCTAAGTATTTCAGTTCCTGGGAGTTGGTGTTAAGCTGAGGGTCCTTGCCAGAATAGATGATTTGCTTGCTAGGACGTGTCATCAGTATGAAGGAAGGAAGGGTGTTGTATAATGAGTAATATTTTCACCTGAATTTGAGGTCCTTCATCTGAAGGAAGGGTGTTGCATAATGAATAACATTTTCACCTGAATCTGAGGTCTTTCATCTATAATGTTTACAAGATGAAAACCTAGGCAGGGCTAGTGGTGGTGGTATTTAACCCTTGTTGGGTTGCTGTCCTGATAAAAGGCTGTAAAAAGGTAACAAAAGGAATACAGTTCTTTCTGTTTCCAGGAAGATTGGTGTATTTTGTCACTCATTTTACTGGGAACAGAATCAAGCCTTTTGCTTGCAGTATGTGAAACAAGTGTTAATTTAACTGTTCAAATACGAAACCAAATCAAAATATTTAGTATTTGATGTGCACTGTTTGCTGTGTGTACTTTTTGAAGCTCACTGATCAAAAAGCCACAACGTTTTCTGATGGGGGTGACCCACCAGTGTTTGAGATGCAAAAATCGCTGCAGCAATTTTATCCTTATGGGAACAGGAATGAGAAATAACACAGAAACCATTCTGGTGCAGCCAGGATTCCACAGGATCTTTTCTGAAGACCATAAATGGAGGAAAAGAGTTGACCTTTTTCAGAGTCATTTTAAGCTCTTAGTTTGGATTTTATTAAATTGAGTGGAATATTGATGAACTTTAGGAGCTCCTTTTTCTGAAGAAGATCTAATATAGTCTCAATCAATCTGGGAACATGTAAAAATGGGGATTTTTTAATGCTTTCACTTCATGAAGTGGCTTAAGAAGTTCAAAACTGTGTTCTCTCTTTTGTGGTTTGTTTGGGTTTTTTTAACTAGATCATCTTTTCTGTGCTCTTCAGCTACTGTACCAGTATTGAGAATGGCATGATTTCACTGTTTCCTCCTATTTTCCTTTCACTTGTTGAGTTCTGGTGCCTTTTCAAACATTGTTTTCTTCTTGTTTGCTCCCTCTCTCTATAGATGATGGTGAACCGCAGAATGGATTTCACAAGATGTGGACTTTGTTACTGATTCTATTAATTAGTGTCCCATTGCTTTATGTCCTGTGGAGTGGAATTCAAGATGGAACCTCTTCAAGGAGAGATGCTGAAATTCTGCAAGCGTTTCGGGCCCAGATGGAGAAACTAAAAAATACTTACCAAAGTCAGGATCCCAACCTGTGGAGAAGAGCCCATGCTTTCCTTGAGAAACGTCTTAACTCTTCCCATGTGCATCTGGAGCCTGCTATCCTGCTGTTCACAGCTGGCCAGGAAGCTGAGAAGGCCCTGAGGTGCCTGAGCAATGAGATTGCCAACGCTTTTGCCTCGTCCCAAAATGCCACTACAATCAGCATCAACGCAGTGGACAAGGCTGTACAGGACAGTGACTCTGTCAAACTGGAGGTGGACACAGAGCTCAGCTCTGGGTTCAGTGAAGGCAAGAAGGTGGCAGTGGTGCATCGATTTGAGTCACTGCCTGCAGGCTCCACCTTAATCTTTTACAAGTACTGTGACCATGAAAACGCAGCGTTTAAGGATGTGGCTCTTCTGCTGACAGTTCTTCTGGACGAGCAGTCGCTGAGAAAGAGCCTCACCTTTCAAGAAGTGGAGGAGAAAGTCCGGGATTTCCTCTGGGCAAAGTTCACCAGTTCAGATGTTCCTGCTTCTTACAATGGCATGGACACAGATAAGCTGAGTGGACTGTGGAGCCGGATATCTCATCTTGTGTTGCCTGTTCGGCCTGAAAAGGGCCTCCCTCTGGAGGGATGCACATAAAGATTGCTGGAGGGCACTTGGGAAAGGAGGAAGACACAAAATATATATTGCAAGGCAGAACAGGGAAGAATTTAGTGTGGCTGCTGAGCTCAGGCAGCAGCAAACCAGTCCTTCCTGTGCAGAGACTTTCCACCAACTGGCAGGGTTGTTTCTGCCAAAGTAACTGGGACTTCTCCAAGTAAACTACAGGATATAAGCAAGGAATTTGCTGGTTATTGGTAAATTGTATTCAGTGATGCATTCAGCCTTGGTATCCTGGAGCTGGACATTGCTGTGCATCAGAGCAGAGTCACTCATCTGCCTCTGAACCTGTGTTGAAGCACTGTTGGCTTTGTTGTGAGGATCCTTCTCTGGTGGTGCATAAAGCTGGTATCACATTTGACAAGGTAACAGAATGTAAAACCATCACCTTCATCTCCCAAAATTGCTTACTTTCCTTCTAACATAGAAATAAACTGAAAATTATGACAAAGTGATGTGAGTCTAAGCACAAGCTTCTTCCAGATCCATTGGATCACAACATAGATGTCAGCTGTCTCTGGCCACTGTAGAAGTGGCAAAATTGCTTGAAATACCTGTGACCTGTAGAGAACCTTTCAGCAAGCATTTCTTCCTTAAATGAGCCTGGCACAAACAGTTCTGGAGAAAGAGAAAAGCTGAGGTACAAAGGTTGCATAAAGTCAGTAGTACTAATGTCAGTTAAGTGATTCCTCAGTACCTCTTTGCCCGGCTGCTTGCAGGAGTTCTCTACTTTTTCAATGTTTTGCAAGTCTTAAAATTTGGATGGAAATGATAAAATGTTTATCCCTGTGTACATACTATATCCTTTCCAAACAAAACTTTAGGAAGACATAGGCTATTTCTCATTTTACTAAGATAATTATTTTTGCATTGAGAGAATCTATTTATTTGTGGTACTTGATATCCTAAAAAAATAAGTTTTCTTCTTGTATCTGTGTATAACTGGCTGCTTGCTGTATACATTTCTAGCAAAGAACAGATTTGCAGAGCATGCTTTTAATGTTTTTTAGTCTCTCATGTCAAGAATTCTTCACACCAGATTAAAAACATGTACCTGTTTCTATTGTTTAATACTTTGCCTAAAAAAATAAAAGAGAATAGCAGCACTTCCATTTCACTGCTGTTACTTCATGCTCTGAGCTATTGGTCCATGTCCATTTGGTTTTATTGAATATGAAGGAATGTGTGAAGATGCTCTCAAATCAGTAGGATGTTTTCTTGTAACAGCTGAGAGATCGGGCCCATCCTTCATTCACAAGCCCCTTGAACTGTCCTGTTGCAAAATAATCCTTTTCAACCAGGAAACCCATTGAGGAGCTGGAGCTTCTGGCTTCTTTGTGCAAGGCAAGGTTGGGGGTGTTAAGTGGAATCAACCAAAATCACCTGAAGCAATAAAGGAGCAGAGTTTGGGAGACACACAGCTGTGCTCACTTAAACCAGAGGTGGATTTGTTCTAATTATGGAGAGCCAGCAATGGATAATGCTTACTATTTTAATGGGCAGAAATAAAAACAGTAAACAGACATGGAAGTGCTGTTATTCTGGATGTTTAATAGCTCAGGAAGGAAAAGATGGCATTTACATTTCAAACATTTCACTGGACAAATGTTTTTTAATAAAAAAAACCAACAACTGTGACTTATTTTCAAATGTGTCCTCATAGCATATTTGTTTGTATATTACGTAAACTATTTTAGTAATGATTCAAAATAAACACACTTATTTGTTTTATAAAAGCTGTTTTAAGACTTGCCCATTGAATTTTAAGTGGTGAGACTTTTTTTTTTTCCCTGTGTTTAAATTGCTCATTTCACCTTTGACCAGCTACAGGTGCCTAAAATATGACCTTTTGCAAAACTTAGAACTTTTAAGAAACCTGAGTGGAGTGGAAGATACTGGGATGCAGATGCATGTATTTCATAATAATAGGTCTTATGTCTAAGATGGAACAACATTTCAGGAAATGGCTGTGAACTGTCTTTTACTTGGTGTTCTTTTACTAATTCCCCAGTTCTGATTTCAGCTGGAACTAATGATAAGATATGGTTCACTTGTTTCATTAGCCTATACAAGAGTCAGCAGCTGACAAAAAGGGATGACTTCATTCTTGTTCCACTCCTAGCTGCATGTTCTGTACCTTTGGTGTTGCAAACTAGTGCACTGTGAACTGACTGGAGAGGACAATCTTACTGAAAAGTAACTTTAAAAAAAAAAATATCAGAACTGGCTACCACAAAAAAAAAAAAAAAGAGATGTGATATGAAGACAGGAGATTCACACACATGCAAATAAAACATAGTTTATGCAGGCTATTTTCTGTTTTTAAAACTTTTCTTCCTTATAGGTATTAAAGGTATATTCCTGGTTCAAGAGGAAAAATAGGATGTCTGGAAACTAAAGACTTAATGTTGTGCTAGCCAAAGGAAAATCACTTTTTTTTTTTGCTGTTATGAACTGTAGGGAAAGCCTACAAGGGTGTCTTTCCAAATGTATTGTGCTGCTTAGTCTGAAAAAAGTGAAAAACAAGATAATATAGTCAGTTGCCCCTTCCATGGGAGGGGGAAAGGCTGAAGATTAGAAGACTCTTCCTGCTCTTGACAGGTCCTTTTGTAGCTGTTTGTGGCTTTGTCCTTAAAAGGTTCTCATTAAATATCCACAGGTACTTAATGCAGATCTCATTAAGCAACTCCTACTCAGCCAGAGGTGAAGAGTAATGTCTGTCTGTGTTCCTCACAGGCAGCTGATTGCTATCCTTGTATAATTATTTCGTTGCCTGGGGCAAACGGTGTCATTTGATGTTTTCCAAACTGTAAAATAGTTTGGCTCCTTCTTGAGAAATCTCACTTGTGAAGCTGAAGTGTCCATGACTGTCAGCAGATCAGGAAATTAGTTTGTGACAGAAGAAATGTGGTTTTACAGAGCAAAGACACCAGATCTGGCCTTGAGACCAAGAAGGGTATTTTTCTTCTTCTGTGGCCTTTAGCAAAAAAACCCTTTTGAGTAGAACATGATATTTTGGAGGGGGGCTGAACCAGCTACACACCAAACTCCAGTAAGATTTCCAGCACTCTGCAAATAGGAGTGGAAATGGTCAAAGTGCTCCTTGGGTTGTGAGCAGAAGGAGCTGCAGCTGGTGAGAGCCCTTTGCAGGTGGAAGGGGGAGTGTGGCCCCTCTGCTGCTGTCACCTGTGGGCACCTGCAGGGTGGAAATCACCTTACTGCCTTCAGCAGTGGATGTTGTGAAAGGGACCCAGAACAAAGCACTGCCCAGCTGTTGTTACCTTGTCTCTCACACCCTGCTCTGAGTCATGCTGTGCTGAGTTTGGAACATGCTAAGCAGGTTTGGAAATAGGAATTAATTTTTTTTCCCCCATTTTTTCACATCAACAAAATCATACCTTCTGCAAATTAAATTACAAAAACCCACAAACTTGTGGCTTTTGTATCCTTGTTTTTGAAAATTGTTTGGAACGAAAAGTCCAGCTCAAACTGAGTGCAAAAGGTAAGGTAAGAGCTCCATGTTAAGGCAGCAAATAAAATTATTTGCTGTACAGGACACAGCTATATGTACCATCTGCAGTGCAATTGCCAGCATGCTGTATTTAGGAAAAATAATCTGGTTTTGGAGGGGTGTAATGAAACATGAACAACTTGCCAGATTCTGTGTTAGGACCTTGTGGTACAGTTGGAAAACTGGGGGAAGAAATCTGAAGCGATGCTTTTATTTTATAAGAGAACAAATTTTTCATGCATTGTTTCTGCTGGCAGATGGACTGCCAGTGGTAGGAGTAGAGAGAAGGGAGGCGGGTGTCCTGTAGTCCTCACAGCTGTCCTGTGTCCTGTTTTATTGTCAGCTCCTGACAGTTGGATTTATAATTGTATGCCTGGAAAATCTCATTCCATGTCCAACAGGTGGAAGCACCCTTCCCCAAATTCCTCCATGGCCCTTGGGAGTCAATCAGGGAAAGGGGGGAGGGAGTCTGGGGGCTCTTGGCTGCAGGAGCCAGCTGCCCATTTCTAATTTTAGAAGGCGTGTGCAAGAACAGTGTGGAGTGGAAAACTTTCCAAACCTCTCTCTTAAAGCTGCAATAACCGAGTTAGTGAAAGATGAGAATGTGGCTCTTAACTTTTAACTTACTGCGTGTCTCCATCCACCACCTCCAGTGCTGGGGCAGCACTTGCTGCTGTTCCCTGCGTTGCTTTGCCCTTTGGGGAGGCTCGTCCAGCTGGAGAGTGTTCAACTCCTCCCGTCCTCTCAGTTTGGCTGAGAGCTGTTTGCAGGTAAACGGTTTCTTTATTTCTGATCGCTGAGAATTTCACAAGGTGATTGATTGCGTTTTCCACAAGAATCTCCCTCTAGTCTCGCGGAGGACGTTTGCCCATCAGAGCTTTCCACTCACTGCAAGGGAATCTTTGAAAGTGTAATCTAAAGTGTTTCAGTTAGGTTCCACTGGCAGAGAACAAACACGAGCAAAAACAGAATACAAGCCTTTTAATTTAATTCGGCTGAGACTAAATAATTTCCATGTTTGAGAAAATCCTAAAGTGATGCCTAGTTTGCCTGGAGAAGGAGGAGTGTGAAACTAGACTAACTGCTTCCAAGCAGAAAAGAGAAACTATGTTTAAAAGCATAATTAAAGAGGCAGTACATTACGAAAGTGCTGAATAATTTAAATAGGCTGCCAGTCCAGCAATATTAAGCAGTAATTTTAAGCAAACACTATGCGATGATGGGGAATGTAAAAATTTAATTTGCCCTAGTCTGCAATCAGGGCTCCCATACATTACACTAATATTGTTTTCATTGACTGAAATTGCTACTATTATTATTATTATTATTATTATTATTATTATTATTATTATTATTATTATTATTATTATTTACAGTCTCCTGCATTTGGGAGCAGCAAGTTTGCTCTTCGAGGACTCAGGAGGGAATTTGGTACTGCTTACCACTCTTTCCCACTGGTCTTGTGCTTGTCTTTCTGTGTTCAGGCATTTTTTTCCTCCTCATCTGGCAAAACAAAATAGTTTCCAAAGGTTTAATCACTGACATCTCAACCTTACCTTTTCTTCCAAAAGTGGTATGCTTATGCAGGAAAATGTACTCTGTAATTAGCTTGTATATGTAAAAGATCCAAATTAAGGCTAAATGAGTATCCTGTAATTGTGACGTGATTAAATTTGGCATTACCTAAACTTCATAGCTGTAATCTCTCAGTATTTATGGTGTTTTCCTATGATGTTCCCATACTGGAATAACTTACATGCAAAATGCTGACCATTTACTAGAGGAGAGGCTATGTAAAAATAGGTTAATCCTTTTTAGTGAAATAAAAAAAAAAAAAAAATGAAATAAGTAGCTCCAGTAGTTATCATGATCCTTTATCCTTTAGTGTTTGGGGTAGATAATTCTCCACCCCTGTGTTCCCCCAAGAAATTTGGCACCAAACAATCACACTAATGACTGAAAACCAGACTGGGGAAGTTGTAGACAGGCCCTGAAGGGAGCATTCCCAAAATAACTGTAGGAAGAATTTCTTTTTTCCTATTCTAATAACTTTCCTTCTTCAGTGGAAATAATTTTGCTATAGCTGGATAATATCTTAGACCTATTTTTGAAGCGTGGGTGGTTTTAATGTATCTTTGGGGCGGAATCCATGCATTAGAATTCCGTATACTAACAAATTCTTCCGTGTCTATAATGAATGTTAAAAGTGAAATGAAGCCCGTGGTACTCAGTCACGTCTCTGAAGTTCTGCAAATGTTTATTTAAATTTAAATTTGGGAGAGTGTAATCGGAGACGCCTTCATTTGCAAAAAAAAAAAAAAAAAGTAATTATTTTTCTAAAGATGACTTAGCTATGAACACAAATGACTAAAAAGCGGTGCCCCAGTTTCGGCTGGAGCCGCTTCAGGAATGCCAACATCAGCGCTGGGTTTAATTAGCATTGCCAAGTCCTGGCCTTGCACCAACACCCAGGGCTCTGCAAATAAAACGCGAGGGGACTGACCCGGCAGGTCGAGCTTGTAGAACTGTGAGGAGAAAAAGAAAAGCTTCGAGGGAAATATTGGAGGACCAGGCTCTCCCGAGGCTGAAGGAGGGCAGGGCCGCCGCGCCGCACCCAAGATGGCGGCAGGCGCCGAGGGGG